GGCCCGCGCCGCCCGCCCTGGAGCCGACGCTGGGGAGGCGGGGCGCCGCGCGCCTGCGCAGAGCGCTCCTCCCGCGTCTCTTCCTCCTCTGCCTGCCTTTCCCCGCTGCCTCGAGGTGGCCCCGCCCGCAGTGAGGTCGGCAGAGGGAGCGGAACGGTGGCTCTACGGGTCGCAGAGAGTCTGCGTCTCGGTTGATTTCGGCGTGCGGCCTGGAAGAGGCAGGAGCCCGCGTCCTGGTGCCGTCCGGCCTCTCTGGCATCCAAAAATTGGTGCTGTTGCTGGAATGGATTAAGGACCCTGTGGTTTCTGGGCGTTCCGGCTGGAGCGTGTGGCTGAGGGATGAATTTAGGGGTCGGCCATTGACAGCATGAGTTCAGTGTTTCATCTGAGAGTGTCACCTCTGTTGCTACTTAGAGGTGGCCTGTCCAAGTAACCGTCCCAAGGTTTCCCATCCAGTTGTGGAAGAAAAGAAGAAACACCTTTGAGGTGTCACCCACCCTGGGTCAGAATGAAGGTCCTCATTTAATGGCTTTGGCTTATAGCTCATCGCCACTCAAAAAGAAACCCTGTGGTATGGGGGCGGGAGCGGGCTTGACTGCTTGGTTTATGATGCATCCGATGCTGGTGTCTTGTCTCTGCTGTAGGGTTCGAGACCATTTGCACTGGATAAAACCAGTAACTATGATTCAAGGACAGAGGGCAGACACAAGGTTGACTAAGGAAGGTGACTTTCCTGCAGTCACTTGATTAGTCTGACCACATCAGCATGTGGAGAGCGGGATTCTTCATCCTGGCAGAGCAGAAAGGCCATGTGGACAGGAACCATAGAAACTATGTTTACAGGACTGTGTAAAACAAACCTCCAAAAGTGTGACTTTTGCTTCTACTATTAGGACTTGATATGGAGGAAACATTTATCGTGCCCTGCTTTCTCTAGTCATTGTTAATCTCCCTGTAATATTAACTAAAAACTTAACAGTTTTAAAATTAAAAAATTGGAAACTGGATATATGTGTGTTAAGTGCGTGTGTGGATATATGCAAATGGCTAGAGTTTTCAACCTAATATAAGTAATCAAGTCAAATAGATCCTAAAAGAATTGTTGAAAGATTCAGACTACGTTTGTAACTTGAATATATTAAAGGCATAGTTGTCAAAAGAAGAAAGTTTCTTAGATCCAATCTAAAGTAAAAATAATGTCTATGAAAAAAACACTGGGTAGGGCTTCCCTGGTGGCGCAGTGGTTGAGAGTCCGCCTGCCGATGCAGGGGACGCGGGTTCGTGCCCTGGTCCTGGAAGATCCCACATGCCGCGGAGCGGCTGGGCCCGTGAGCGGCTGGGCCCGTGAGCCATGCCGCTGAGCCTGCGCATCCAGAGCCTGTGCTCCGCAACCGGAGAGACCAAAACAGTGAGAGGCCCGCGTACCGCAAAAACAAACAAACAAACAAAAAACAACACTGGGTACACAAGTTAGAAAATAACCGGCTTTTACATTCCAGAAATGACATTACTGTAAATCTCAATTCAGGACCTCTGTTTCAAAATAAGATTTGACCAAATCAAGATTCAGGTTTTTTTTTTTTAATAATCTTGAGAGTTTTATCTGAACTCTTTGAGCTTCTGTCTAGTAGAACTCATTCCCTGATGTCTCTATGACTGAGGTATACAGCATCTACTTATTTGCTTGCAAATTCTTTAAAGAATACAAAGAAATCAAGCTATACACCTATTAAATTTAAAATTGCTTCATAAAATATTATGTTTTATCATGGTTGCTGGTACATACTTTGCACCCTGTGGGAAGTTTTCATGAGGGTCAAGTGAAATAAAATGTGATAGTACTTTGTATTTATAATCAAGTTAAAAAACAAAGTAAACCACCCTACAAAAAATAACCTAGTACTCTACTGTAATCTTCAAATCATTAATTCAAATTTTATATCCAATGATGTAAAATTAAACACACTTTGCAATTTGCCTCTGGCCCTCAACACTTCACATTTGAGAGGATAGCAAGAGCTTTACAGACCTGTCTATATTCTTTTACCCACTCGAGTCCATCCTAACTTAACTGACAGAATAATCTTGCTTAAGGATAATTTCCATCGTCATATCCTACTAATAGTGGCTGCTGTTGTCCTACCTTACCTTGAGTTGATAAACCATTTCAAAAAAATCATAGTTATTGTCATCGAGCCAAGCCAATCTCTTTATAAGGCCTAGATTAAAAATTTTTTTTCTCTGCTTTGGGGTCATTAGTACATAAACGTTAAGAGATTATTCCAAGGAAGAGGCTGTTAAGCCAGTGAGCAGGATTTGAAGCAGAAGCCAACACTCACCTTAACCAGTTACCTGCTCCTCTGGGGAAGAGCAGAGGCATGACTTGGCTCCAGTTCTAGCTCAGATTATACATACATGTCTACATCTTCTTACTTGAAGTTTTCCATTCAGTGTTTGCATCTATTCTCAATTACACAAAGTTTGTGGATCTAGGATCAAATGAAGAAAATGGATACAGTTGACAGAAACTCTTTGACTTTGTTGTCTCCTTTCTGTCCTGTGCTGTTTTGGAGACTTTTCGGTTGTCAGTGTTTCCCATTCCCATTTAATTTACTTAAATTTTAATTCTAATTAAACTGGTATAATTTTATTGTAATATATTTTAGTCCTTAAACAAATACATTAAAAACACCTGGGAGATATAAATCCCAATTTTACCTGCTCTGAATATTTGCTCTTTTCTTCTCTGTTGGATTTCTCTTCCTGCCTGCAAACATTTTCAGGCTCCTTTGTCTTGGAAAAAAAATCTTCTTTTGATCCTTCTCTTCCTATTTAAATTCCATTCTATTTTTTACTTTCCTTCCCCTGCCAAATTCTCAAATGACTGCTTTAAATACCCACTACCTTGATTCCCCATCACTCATTCATTTCCTAACCCCTAAATCTGGATTCAGTCCTCTACTGAATTATATTTTTTAAGTCAACAGTTACTTGTAATTACCTCATTCAGTATACACTACCATCTTATTTTTGAATTTTATTTATTTTTTATACAGCAGATTCTTATTAGTTATCTGTTTTTTACACATTAGTGTATATATGCCAATCCCAATCTCCAAATTCATCCCACCACTACCACCATCACCCCGCCCCCGCCCTGCTTTTTCCGCTACACTTCCATCTTTATTTGCCTTGAATTCATTGAAGAATGGCCTACCTGCTCTCTCCCAAACAATACCGTTCCTGCCTCAGTTTCTGCTCATATAGTAAGTGATTTACTCTCCTCTATTTTTATTTTTGGCTGTGCCACATGGCTTGGGGGATCTTAGTTCCCTGACCAGGGATTGAATCCATGCCCCCTGCAGTGGAAGCACAGAGTCCTAACCACTAGACCACCAGTGAAGTCCCTTACTCTGCTCTATTTAAAGCCTTTCTATGTGGCAAGGCACAGCTGTAGTCTCCCTTCTTTATGGTGCTTTCTCCACCCAATCTAATCTATAATGACTGTCCTATCTGAGTGATTCTCCCCCCAGCCATGATTATCAAAAGCACTTAAGAAATATTTTAATAAAAATATGTAAGCACAAACTCTACTCCAGGCCTAGTTTAAAATTTCCAGGGGGGAACTTAATGTGGTCTGTTTTTTAGAAACTCATCAGGAGATTCTGAGATGTATATATAACTGGTTGAGAACCAGTTGATTACCCTTGAATTTCCATAATTTGATATTTTCTATACATTGCCCACGTAGGGAGGGACTGGGTACTGAATAGACATTGATTGGTTATTTACCTAGTCCACCTTCATTATAATTCTTTCATGTATAATTTTTCTTTTTTTTGCGGTACGCGGGCCTCTCACTGTTGTGGCCTCTCCCGTTGGGCAGCACAGGCTCCGGACGCGCAGGCTCAGCGGCCATGGCTCACGGGCTCAGCCGCTCCGCGGCATGTGGGATCTTCCCGGACCGGGGCTCGAACCCGCGTCCCCTGAAACGGCAGGCTGACTCTCAACAACTGCGCCACCAGGGAAGTCCTCATGTATACTTTTTGATAGTCTACTTATCAAACTTATTTTGATAGTATACTTTCACATACCTTTTGATAGTGTATTGGATTGTATTAACAGTAAGCTTTTGGTACAAAGCTAATTTACAAAGCCTTTTAAGGTCCATATTGAACTTAGATCTATATAGAAATACCAAATAATGCGGTGTCATATTCCATCATTGTCTACATTGAGGTATTCCTAATCTTTATACTTATTAATCAAATGTTTGCCTTAATTTTCATTTACATAACTAATTCCTCTCAAGTATAGGAAGTGTAGAGGCTTCCCCTTACACCAGATTTTCAGTAATTTGATGAGTATGAACTCATAAGTAACAGGAGGTGGTCTTTTCACCATTTGTAGTAATATATCCAAATTGAAAATCATTTATATATCCTTACATAGTTCTTATTAATTCGGGAGCTTAGTAAACTCTTGTAGAGTTGTCATGGAGCATCAGTGATCTAAAACAACATGATTGATGGTGTGCTACACATCCTCATTATTTTAAAAAACTATGGCTGGTGTTAGTTTTTCCAGTGTATTCAGTCTAAGTCAAGTATAACTAGAGAGAACAGGTTTCCCTGAAATATTTCTTGTTGTTAAAGGATAGCACTTGATTTTTTGGTTGCTGTTTTGATGTAATCAACTTTACAGAAAGCAAATTTTCCAGTAAATATTAAGATCCCAAACATACCTTATTTCCCTAATCTTTGTTAATATGCATACTTACTTTTATGGCTGTTTGAATTCCTTCTTTAAATTGAAAATATATGTTATATACTGTGAGTGGAGCCTAGCTAGGCCATAGTAAATACATTTTACAACAGTGG